CCAGTTTTTGGCACCAGAAACTGGCGGATAAGTTCTCCAAACTTGTCCGCCAATTTTGGATAAACTGCGGACAAGTTTGTAGAACTTATCCGCCAGTTTCTGGTGCCAAAAACTGGCGGATAATTTCTCCAAACTTATCCGCCAGTTCTCCAAAATTTGCGGACAAGTTTTTAGAACTTATCCGCCAGTTTCTGGCGCCAGAAACTGGTGGATAAGTTCTCCAAACTGGTCCGCAGTTTATCCAAAATTGGTGGACAAGTTTGGGGAACATGTGGATTTAGCTTGTGACTTGTCTCCACAAGCTAAATCCACATAAACCAAACAAGACTACGACGTGAAGGGGCCTGTGGCTGTATGGCTAAGGGGCCAGACACTCATGCAGGAGTTCCTGGGTTCGATCCCTGGGAGGAGTAGGATATTATTTAAGAGGTGAGATAGGAAAACACAGAACTCTAGATATAAATATACAGGGTAAGTTATATACTGTACAGGTGTAATTAGTATGCTAGATATAATAATCTGTATAAATAAGATAGATAACCGAGCTTTGGACGCCTTCTTGCCTTATTGGGAAATGGATAAAAAAATTAGAAACATTTATATCAATATTTTTCTTTAAAATTTCTGAAAATAGAGAAAATTTTGTGATGGTAAATTCCCATATGGAGAAAATCAAAATAAACAATGCCATTCAAAAGGCTAAATTTATACCCTGGCCTAAAGGAATATGATTGACCCTCATTTTTAATATTGTGTTTTCTGAATAGTTTTTTATTGACACTTTATAGTTGATAATGCTGTCTTTGTATTCTTGTCAGTTTTCAAAGTGTTCATGTTCATTCTCTTTAGTTTACTTTCCTTATTACCAATCAAACAATTTCCTCAATAAAATTACTGTTGGGCTATTTTGCCTTGCACAAAGAATGGTTTGAGCAACAAACCACCACAGGAATGGATTAGTGTTGCTGCTCAACACCTTCTGCTGGTTCTTTTTCTTGATATCTTTCATTTATTGAAAACACTGGATCATGACTTTTGTATTGCAGGAAATGGTCGGTTGTACTCATTATATTTGCATTCCTGCTTCTTCAACAAATCCATTGGCTTCCCTCTGATGCACACCATCACATCCAGAATGATATAACTGGAAAATCATCAAAGGCTTCTAATGATGGAACTCAGCCTTCAAGTTTGCTGGCTCCTCTGAAGTTGTCTGACTTTCCAGGACTGCCTTACATTTTTCCAAATGGGTCTTTTCAACTTGGACCCAGTGAAACCAGGAATTTTCCCATACACCCAGAAGAAGCCCCTGGCCATGACAGATTCCTGGAGCAGAGTCTTTTCAATCCTCTCATTGAACCAAATGCACCTATAAAAACCATATTGATTGTACCATCCAATGATCTGCAGTGGATTCCATCTAGAGGCACAGAAGCTTTCTCACACTGTCCTGTTAAGAAATGTGACTTGCAAAGAGGACCAGGGTTGCCCTTTAGTAAGGATGTTGACCTTGTCATCTTCCACTTTAATGTAAACATGGAAAGAACCCATGAACACAGGGATCAGATTTGGGTTCTTTGGACCCAAGAAAGCCCAACTATGTATTCATCCATGAAATCACCTCCACACTCCATCAATTGGACAGCCACTTATCGCAAAGACTCTGACATACCCTTGTTGATGGGGAAATGGATGTATTTCAATGAGCAGATTAAAGCCCAACCTCAAACTGAGAACCTGGCAAAAAACAAGACCAAGAAGGTGGCCATGTTCACTTCAAATTGTAATGCAAAGAACAATCGTCTGCAATATGCCAAAGAGCTCAGCAAACATATACAAGTTGACATTTATGGAAGATGTGGGAGTCTGAAATGTTCTAGAAACAATAAGAGCAAATGCTTTGAGATGCTGAAGAGGGATTACAAGTTTTACTTGGCTTTTGAAAACAGCAACTGCAGGGATTACATAACAGAAAAATTCTTTGACAATGCTTTGCAGTGAGTAACCATTCCTGCTCCATTTTTAGGGATTATACCTTCTTCTCAAGTTTTGACCCATCTGCATGTGGATCACTACATAAATCCAAAGATCCATTAAATAGAATCAAGTAAAGGACAATGGAGAACCTTCCAATTAAGACTTCCACAGAAAGCCATTTATATAATAAATACACAAACTGAAAATGGGCGAAATTAAACATGATTGATATTTTATAATTCTAATCAATCAGGAACAATGTGATACCAATTGTCATGGGAGCAGAAAAGAAGGATTACTTGGAAGTTGCACCCTTGAACTCATTCCTGCATGTTGATGACTTCCAATCTCCAAAATCACTTGCCAAGAAACTCCATGAAATTGACAAGGATGATGGTCAATTCAACTCCTTTTTCCAGTGGCATGGCACAGGACAATTTGCAAAAATGTTTGAAAATGTCATGTGCCTCTTTTGTGCCAGGCTGCATGACCCTCATAAGAAGCCAAAGAGCTATCCAAACACAAGGGGGTGGTGGCAAAAGGATGCTTGCAGAGATTCTAGACCAATTCCTATAGGGAAACCCAATGAACTTGATGTTTCTTTTGATGTCATTCCAAATACTAAAGGACTTTGATTGAAATTATGTAAGATATATGTGTAATTTTTTTAAATTTCAGTGCACTTCCTGCTGGTCAATGCTGAATGAAACAATGTACAGTGGTGCCTTTTGCCTATTGCAAAAACAATCCATGCCATCAGGACTGAGTTGGCTTATATAGCAGAACTTTCATCTGGTGGGGCACATTTTCCCTCATGTGATAACATAAAACCCATTAATTGGTTCTTGGACAAAAACTTTGGCAGAAAAATGTGGGAATTTGCCTTAATTTTCAAATGACAAAGCGCAAATCCCTGAAAACACTGCTTCACTTCATGCAAATGCTTTTCCTTTTTAACACGTTTTTATTAACTTGCTTTCTTGTCTGTTTGTTTGTCTGGATCAAATTTTGCAACTCAAATTTTGCTCA